ACAGACCTGTGAAACCTTCTTCACCCGTCTCTTCATCAAAGACCCAAAATCCGTACTCACCTTCCTCGGTCTCGCCCTCGTCGATGACGTAGAAGTTGGACCGCTTGCGGTGCGTGATGTTTGGGTCTGCAACACCTGTGCGAGAAACGGCAAAAAGTTCTAAGAACAGCTGTTTCACTTGGAGATAGGTATATTGAGGCATTGCGATCTGACGGATGTTCATGACGAGACAAAACGCTCTCGTTGTTGCTCGTTGAGGTCTGCTTGGACTAGAAAAATCAGTGACATCAAATTGTCTGACAATGGAAACTGCTGTGCATGTCTGGTCCTTCTATTGGTTATGGTCTGTTCTCTCAGTTCTTGTTGATAAGCTAGCTTATCTTCATCTGTTACTATTCCATTATAGTGCAGTCTTTGCTCATCTGTGAGTGCTGCCGTAAATGCCTGAGTGCCTGCTTCGGGAAGATCGGATATGTCCAGCAGATCGGACCAAGAAGCCAACAAACGCTTCTGCGCGATCTCAAATCGCCCTATCCAGTGCACGAATTCACTCTGGCCTCGGTATGTGCGAAACATCTGGAGGAATCGCCAAAGGAACACATGATTTACTCCCTTCACGAAGTATGGTCTCAATGTGTCCTTGAAATGAGAGAGGCCACGATCCGGATCTCGGAGTAAGGCATTATCGAGCATCGACTTATAAAAAGAAGCGGAACCAATGAGGGCATTCTTTAATGATGGTCCATGTTTATCTGCATCCAATGTTGTGATCCCTAACCAAACATCAATTAAATCTTCATATTCAAACAAGCATGATTGGCCATCAAATTGGGGTGGAACCTTCGGTGTCATTTTGATGCCCATCCGGTTTTCGGAATGCCTGGTGGCGGCATATGCTTCAGGCTCTTCATAAGAGACAATCTGGAGTTGTTCTTCATCTGAATCCATGTTGTGGATTAAGACCATGGCAGCTACTCTAACTTGACCTACAGGTTGCCTCCGCAAGTCCGATATACGGAATGTATGCAGAGAACGGCAGTTCGGCACACGGATCTAGACTTGGCGAAGGCACAGGCTCCGCTACCACTTTGAGGTAGCTTTCCCTCTGTTAGGGGAGCCCTGGAAACTAGTATACAACACCTGCGGACAAGAAGTGGCTGCTGCACTCTTTTTCTAGGCTGCGAGCTGTTGCTAGTCTTGAGCCATGCGGAGTGCGCATGAAAGATATGAATTAGGTGTACATGTCAACATGCATGACAGTATTGTGTAGACACGTAAACAAAAAGAAATCACAGGGGGGGCATGGAGCGTGTGCAAAGCCAATTTTTGATTTGCAGAACAGGAGGGCGCAGGTTTGCTTCTGTCGGCCTCATTTTGGCCCATGTTGGGCGCTATTGAGTCACCTTGCAGAATGTACGGCTCCATGTTGGGTTGTATCAGCCTCATTTTGGCCTATGTTGGGCCGATGTTGGGTCATGTTGGGGAATGTTGGGCCTGCGGTGGGACCAGATTGGGCTTACGTTGAGCCATTTTGGGGCGAGTTGGCACGAGATCGGGCTCATGTTGAGCCATTTTAAGGGTAGTTGTTGGCCTCTATCTTGGACTTGAGCATTTCAGTGTCGTTGACTTTTGGTCCATGCAACGCATTTGCAAAAAACACCGCAAATACCAATAAAAACGCAATTTTTATGTTGTGTTGCTGATCTTTGTGATGCTTTTTTTTGGTCATGTTTTTCGCTTTCCTTGGGCGCATGCTGCACTCAGGCTATGCTGGCCTTATCGAAAGCTCATGTTGAGCAATGTTTGAGCCATATTGGGTTGTTATTATGTCTTATTGGGTCATGTTGGGCAATGTTGAGCCAGCGTTGGGACCATATTGGGCTAATGTTGCGCCATTTTGGACTATTTTGGAGGGGCGAGCCGCTGTGTTGGGCTGCGTCTCGGGCTCATGTTGAGCCATTTTGGGTCGAGTTGGTGCGAGATTAGTCTCATGTTGAGCCATGTTACGTTATTTTGCGGGCCTTTACAGAATGTGTGGGCTGTGTCGGCCTCATTTTGGCCGATGTTGAGCCATTTTGGGCAGAGTTGGTGCGAGATTAGGCAATTTTTGATGACGGAAAGCGCTGGAACAGTGCAGGGAGTTGTGTGGGGGGTGGGGGGCATAGAGCATGTGCAAAGCCAATTTTTGATGACGGAAAGCGCTGGAACAGCGCAGGGAGTTGATGTAGCTTTGCCCTAGGGGAGGGTGTGGGGGGGGAGGGCATAGAGCGTGTGCAAAGCCAATTTTTGATTTGCAGAACAGGAGGGTGGGGCGCTTTTGAGCCACATTGCAGAATTTGGGGCTCCATGTTGAGCTGTGTCGGTTTCATTTTGGGTCATGTTGTGCAATGTTGGGCCAGCGTTGGGAAATGTTGGGACCATATTGGGCTTACGTTGAGCCATTTTGGGGCGAGTTGGCACGAGATCGGGCTCATGTTGAGCCATTTTAAGGGTAGTTGTTGGCATTTTTCTTGGACTTGGGCATTTCATCGTTGAGTCTTGGTCCAGGCAAGGCGGCCTTTGCACAAAACACCGTAAATACCAAGAACAACGCCATTTTTGGGTTGAGTTGCTGATGTTTTTGATGCTATTCTTTGTTTTCACGTGTCTTTCCTTTCCTTTGGGGCATGCTCACTTAGGCTATGCTGGCCTTATCGCAAGCTCATGTTGAGCAATTTCTTTGTATGTGCGTGTGTGCAACAATATGGAAAGCCAAAAAAAGTCGAGAAGTTGTGAAGGTCGGCTTTTTTAAAATATCAATGACAACAATTTGGAAATCTATGAAAACCATCCAAAATCAATGAAAACATATTGGGCTTCTGTTTAGCCATATTGGTCTTATGTTGAGCCATTTTGGACTTTGCCCTAGGGGCGGGTGTGGAGAGGGGGGCATGCCATGGACCATGTGCAAACCCAATTAGTTGTAGGTTTCTTGGTGGTGGTGGCATGGCACGTGAGCTCTCATATGAGTCGATATTTCAATGGTGTGTTGCATCTACGCGCGCAGGCACAACACACAATATCAAACCATCCAGCACGCTTGTGGCCCATGACTTCTCCAGCGCTTTTCCTCTCCTTACCGGAGGAGCCTACATAAGGAAAAGACAGTTTGTGCCGCGTATGATCAAGTAAACAAGTACAAATCTCACCCGAAACAAACAATGAAACACAACCAAAAACGACTTTGCATGTTCCAGGGCAATTGTGATTTTTCGTGCGCGTTTTTTCTATTTGACTGAATGGTTGAAGATTTTCTGCAAATTCTTCCGCATCCTCTTGGCAGCCGGCGTGCCGAAGTGCAAGTTACATCTATCGTAGGGCATGCTGCATCTCTTTTTCAGTTTGGTGTGTCAGTGGTGATTCGGTGATGTCTTGGTGGAGTGTGGGTGATGTGTTGGTGATCAGTCTCTATTGCGCAGGTGCGTCTAGGTGGCGTTTGGGCGAGCATGCATGCGTAATGTTGTGCTTGCGAGGTATTTTGCTGGTGTTGTGATGGCATTTCAGTGGTACTTTTGGTGGTGTACGGGTGGTCTCTTGCTTGTGGGTGTCTTGGTGGTGGTGGCATGGCATGTGAGCTCTCATATGAGTCGATATTTCAATGGTGTGTTGCATCTACGCGCGCAGGCACAACACACAATATCAAACCATCCAGCACGCTTGTGGCCCATGACTTCTCCAGCACTTTTCCTCTCCGTACCGGAGGAGCCTACATAAGGAAAAGACAGTTTGTGCCGCGTGTGATCAAGTAAACAAGTACAAACCTCACCCGAAACAAACAATGAAACACAACCAAAAACGACTTTGCATGTTCCAGGGCAATTGTGATTTTTCGTGCGCGTTTTTTCTATTTGACTGAATGGTTGAAGATTTTCTGCAAATTCTTCCGCATCCTCTTGGCCGCCGGCGTGTCGCAGTGCAAGTTACACCTATACGCCTATAGGATCCTATAGGCATATGTAGGGCATGCGCCGTTTCTTTTGGAATTTTTGGTAATTTTTGGTGTTTTGGCACAGCTTAACTGGCTTCACGCTGATGTTTGGGTATTGTATGGTAATGTTTTGTTGGTGCCTTTTGGATCCGAATTCTTTCTCTAGTTTGAGAAATTTTTTGGTGTGCGATTCATCATGTTGGTATTGGAATTTTTCTGACCGTAGATTCGCATATCTTTTGTGTCTACCTACCTAATTGGACAGGGGACCGGGGGTAGTTTTCTCCCCGGGATATTTGAATATTTGAGTGCTTTCCGTGGTTTGCCGCGCTGGTTTGCAAAGGAAATTCCGGATAGAGACATTTCATGGCCCTGGATCATCCAGAGACATGTGGCATTTGGATGCATTTGGTCCCTTGCCTGGTGCGCATTGTGGCAGGCAACGAAACCAAAGCGTTTGAACCTTAGAGTAATTTGAAATATTTTGAGTTTTGATAAAAGAGGTTTCAATCTGAGCACCTGTAGATATTCGTGTTTTTTGTTGCATCCATACGGCAATCATGTTTGGATGGAAAATGATGCAAATATGTTGCAATCTGGTGAGGTGTGCGGATCATTGGAAGGCAGCTATCTCAGTTTCAAGGAGATTCCGGTATTGCCGTCAGGGGTGACTGAAGATTAGGAGATTCAGGAAAAAGGGATGAAAAGGGATGAAAAGGGATGAAACGGAAAACCATGGAAAACCTTCATGGTTCGTGGCTGCCATAACCTTCAGCTTTCGAGGCTTGGGAGTCACAGCAAGGCAAAGAACCCTTTGGAAGCTGGTGCAGCTGGCTGGTTTCCTTGATTTCGAGGTCAGTATTGGAAATAGAAATCTGGATACTGTCATATTCTTATTTAGATCTAGTTAATGTCAATGAATATGACCAGGTTATCATACGGTATCCAAGTTTCGAAAGTTTATGGGTCCATTCGTATGAAGTTCTCCAACAGCATCTTCAGCATCAGGCCTCTCGTATCCTCTCGTGCCGAGGTGGTCGTCTTCTGAAGGATGCCTGGCGCAATTGCTCATCGCCAGAAGCTTGGATTGCTTGGATGGCTTGGGCAGTCAAGAAGTTCAGCTATCAGGGAATATCTATGGGAATATGCTATGTGCATCGATGTGCCATAGTTTCACAAGATGTTTTAAGATGTATCAAGATGAATGCCATGAAGAAACTGAATTGTACACTGAAGTCAGTGACCAAAGTCTGTGCTCAGGTTGTCTTGTTTCTAGCCGTCTTGGCTTGGTGCAGTTCTGTGCTCAAACGACGCAAGATCGATTCGTCGATCCAAATCCAAACATATCCAACATACCAGGCACAAAGGCTGCCAGAGACTGGGCTTTGGATATGTTTGGATCATCCAAACTCAGTCAGTACTCAGGTCAGGATTATCTACGTGGTTTCCTCAACAATTTTTATGATGAATTGGAAGATGAGGCTCGCGAGGTTGAAGCTGGCGCCTTAGTTGGTCTCAAGTCCCATGCTTCGGTGCTGCCATGGCATTGCCCCGAGGCTTTGGCCCGCGCGGCTGAGTCGAAGGTTGAGGAAGCAGAGCACATGATGGAGATGGGCCTGGTGCGGCCTCCGATGATACGCCACGTGGGTCCTCAAGGCCCTCACGGCCCTCAAGGCCCTCAAGGAAGGCACGCCATGGAAAGCGCCATGGAAAGAGAGCCCTCCACAGAGGATGATGTTGAGATTGAAGAGCCCGAGGAGCACCTTATTCTTTGGGTTGGGAGATATCAAATACTTCATTGGATTCATGATTGTTAAAAAACAACTGCAATGATCTTCCCGCTCAACTTAGATTAAGTACATTTCATTGAATTTTGTTGTCGAACCTTGAAGCAGTTTTTGGATTTGACATCATCAAACACTTCAGAGAGTTCCCAGTGACCCAATGATCAGGAGATCCCAGAGCCAAAGAAAAGCCTCCACAAGTTTCAGGCTCCGACTTTTCACGCATGGGGCTGTACCTATAGATATTCCAAAAGGATGGTTAATGATAGTTGAATACAGTTAAGTGATGAGTTGAAATCAAATCAACATAAATCAACATAAATCAACCATATCAACATTTTGCAACCATTCATGCAACTGGTTTCGCCAATCTTTTTGCAGCAGTGTTCGATTTTGAGGCTCCTCGCGATCTTGGCTTCGGTCCACATGTGCCTCTAATCAATCAGTGGTGATCTCAAAATCTGCATCCATTGTAGTTTTGGATTTTGACCTATCATTTCTTTGCCTTTTTGGTTATTCTGTGATTTTGTTTGGTTTCCATGTCCAGATCGAGATCCAACGGAGAACGAGGTCCCTCTTCCCGCCCGGTACTGCTCCGCCGTGAGTGCGAAAGCGCCGACGGGCTGGTCGCTGGAGCCACCGGTGAAGCCGTTGAGCTCTCAGGACAAAGTCTCCTGCGCCCAGAAAAAGGATGAAAAAGGTGTCTGTGATTGTGTCAATGTTGGAGTTTTGATTTTGGCATGTCGAGTTGGAGTTGGTCAGGCGAAGGCCAGAAATCACAATACACTATGAAAATGTATGAAACATCTTTAAAACATTTTAAAACCAGAATGAATAAATATAAATAAGACTATATAATCAATTAGATAGTCAATAAAACATTGAAAGCAGCCACTTCTACCACGAGTCCGGTGGTTTGCATTTGTTCTGTGCAGGCTTCGGAGATCCGTAGGGTGCTGGTGAGCTATGACCTGCAGCAGGCCATGATGACATACCGGGTTCTTCAAAAAAAACAGCCATCCTCTTATATGTTGTCACATCACCCTGGATGCCCCCGCGCCCCCGCAATCAATGTTGTTGACCGGACCATGCCGGCATCCGAACGGAAATGGCTGTTTTTTTTGAAGGCTGTGCCAGGCAAAGCTATGCAACAACATTGAATCAGGGGGATGGGGGGTTGGAAAGATTCTTTGGCGTGATGGTTGCCGCATGGCTGTTTTTTTTGAAGAACCCGGTATGTCCGAAATTCATCCCCGAAACGAACGGTTGAATGGTGTTGAATTGTGTTTATAACGCACGAAAAGGATACAAAATAACTCATCTCAATTAATTTGATCTCCATTTGTACGTGTTTGTACATGTTTGCCTCATCTTGTGGCTTCTGATTGTCAAGATTTTGTGTTGATCCAGGCAACTGAAATGGACGAAATTCCAACAGAGGCCGCGGGGTGCATTCATAGTCTTCACATATTTCTTGTTGAGGTAAGAGCTGAAATTTGCTGAAAGGTACTGAACGAGTATTTGCATTTGAAGACAGTAAGTTGAAAGTGAAACCCACTGATTTATGTCTGAGTTTTGAGGCCAGTGAACAGAGTATCGCTCCTTGCTTATGCCCCAGCTTGTTGGCAGACATCATCTTGACAATTTTGAGTGCTAACTCCAAATCGGAGTTCTGTTTTACCGTTTCAGTGACTTTGTGGAACTTTAAATTTGTTCCAAGGCCCCTCCAATCTGTGTAGGCCCTTATCTCAGCTGAGACAGCAGCTTTGAAGCATTTGCCAGATGTAAACATGGCATTTGTGATTTGTATTTGTTATATATTTGGATAGCTTCTTCCATTTTAATCGTTGTTGCAGTTTTTTTAGCATGAAGGATCTTAGCATCAATCAAAGTTCTACTTGCAGGCCACCTTTGCGACTGTCAAATGTGACACTCGCTGAGGCGCTACCGCTGATTTCATGTTGGGTAAACCATCATTTGGCATATATTGCAGATTGTTGCAGATTGTTGCAGTACGTGACCGCCTATCCATGAATCATTCTGCCATCTCGTTTGATTTGTTTTCCTTCACATCGCGCTACTATTTTCTTTTTTGCCAGGTGCTCATTCTAATTCCAACGATGTTTTCACACTTAAATTAAAAAGAATGAAATTGTAAAACTTGTGAGTGCTCAAGGTTTTCCCGGGATGCCTCAGAATTCGTTGTGGATTCAACCACTGTCAAGGCAATATGTTTCAACGTATCATGAGCGCAAACTCTTTGCAATGAAACACATCCTTTGTTTAAGGATTATTTGGCGATGATTTTCTTTCGAGTAGCTCAGTAACAAACAACGGATAGCTCCACCTTCATCGTGGGGATGAGGTAGTTTTGATGCCATTACCACCAATATACTGCATGTGTTGTCCCATGCTCATCACTCAGTGTTTGCAAGTTGCCTCCTGTTGAAAAGATGAAATAATCGTTCCGAACCAAAAATATTTCGCTGTAATTTACAATACTACCTAATCCATCCCAATCCCAACTCCCCCACATACTTGATTTCCTTAATATGGATTGATATGGGATTGATCCTGATACGGACCAAAAATAAACAATGAAAAACCAATAGTAATAAAGGGGAATAGATGCCACCAAACAGGCCTCCCGGAAAAAAAAATCAAATTTAAAATATAGGAATATATATATTATTATTTATGTTTTCTATTTTTTTCATTATTGATTTTATATATTTTCCCTATTGCTTTAAATATATTCATTAATTAATATATATTTTAATTTTCATTATTTTAATTTATAAAAAATTATATTAAATTAAATAAAATATAATAGTTATTTAAAAATTATATTTATTTAATGTTTATAATAATACATTATATATAGATATATTTAAATACGAATTCTTATTTAATATATAAAATTTTTATAATTAAAATAAATTAAATTATATATAAATTAGCCATATTGATATTATTATATTTAATGATAAATAGAATAATTCATTATTATGTAAATTTTATATTTATTATATATTTTTAATTTAATTGTATATAAATATTTTGTTTTTAAATATATTAATTAAATGTATTAGATTTTTTATATATATGAAAAATTTTTAATAATATTAATATATAATAATTTTATTTAATACTAAATTTATTAGATTTATTTATTATATATTTTTATTTATATTTTTTATTATTATTATAGAATATGAAGGTTAATGATATTTTATAAATATACTTAGATATATCTATATATATATAATTAATATAAATTTGAAATTGGATTTTAATAAATAATATAAACTTTTAAAATTATATATAATAATTTTATATATTGATTTTTTTAATATATTTTTATTTATTTAAATGAAGAGGGAAAAATATATTATAGAGATATTCTTAAATTAAATAAAGATTATATTAATATTATATTGTATACATTCGGTTAGATAAAATTTCGTAATATATTTATTTTAAAAAATAGTTCTAAAAAATAATCCATGGGAATATAATATAAAAATAAATAATATAAATTCTTAAATTTAAGTAATTTTGTATATATTTCCCTACCTGCCAGGTAAAGGTTTCTAGATTTTAACAAAATTCTTCTCCTCCTTCCTTTTTTTTTCGCATCGTCCTCTGCCGCCTCCTTTTCGTAGCCTAGATCGTAGTGGGCACTGCCGGACCTCAACCGCGAGCTCCAGATTGCAGTGGGCACTGCCGGACCTCAACCGCGAGCTCCAGATCGCAGTGGGCACTGCCGGACCTCAACCGCGAGCTCCAGATCGCAATGGGCACTGCCGGACCTCACCCGGGAGCTCCAGATCGTAGTGGGCACTGCCGGATCTCATCCGGGAGCTCCAGATCGCAGTGGGCACTGCCGGACCTCAACCGCGAGCTCCAGATCGCAGTGGGCACTGCCGGACCTCATCCGGGAGCTCCAGATCGCAGTGGGCACTGCCGGATCTCATCCGGGAGCTCCAGATCGCAGTGGGCACTGCCGGATCTTAACCGCGAGCTCCAGATAGCAGTGGGCACTGCCGGACCCCAACGGGATAGAATGCCAGAAAGAAGGTCAGAAAATATGCCAGATAGAATATCAGAAGATATGTCAGATAGAATGCCAAAAAGAATGTCAGAAAGAATGGCAGAAGATATGTCAGATAAAATGCCAGAAAGAATGTCAGAGGATATACCAGAAGGAATGCCAAAAAGAATAATAAAGATATGCCAGATAGAATGCCAGAAAGAATGCCAGAAAGAATGTCAGAAGATATGTCAGATAGAATGCCAGAAAGAATGTCAGAGGATATACCAGAAGGAATACCAAAAAGAATAATAAAAATATGCCAGATAGAATGCCAGAAAGAATGTCAGAAAGAATGTCAGAAGATATGTCAGATAGAATGCCAGAAAGAATGTCAGAGGATATGCCAGATAGAATGCCAGAAAGAATGTCAGAAGATATGTCAGAAAGAATGTCAGAAGATATATCAGATAGAATATCAGATAAAGTGTTAAAATGGAAGAATATATATCAAAATATGTCTCAGATAAAATGCCAGTCAGAAGACCAGATAGAATGCCATATAGTGTGGTAAAAGCTATTACAAAAAGATATATCAAGAAGTATTTGGACATCACTTGTCCATTTAATTGTTCAGCATATCTCTATATATGCCATGGTGGGGATCACTCGAAATATTTTTTTAAAAAAAGAATATAAAATTATGAAAATAAAATTATAAATATATGGAAAATAATAAATATATATCAAGAGAAAAAAATAAATATAAAGAAAAAAATATTATATTAATATAAATATATAATTTCGCCAAATCGTGAACTAACTCAAAATATAATAAAATTATACACTTGTGACATGTCACTTAGTTTTATGAAGATGAATCTGAAACGCCTGTTTCGGAAACTGTCGGTCCGAGTGGTGGGCAGGGAGGGTTGCCCTTTGCATTCGTTCTTCAGCGACAGCCATGGGTGATAGGTCTGTGAATAGTCCTCCTGGCATCTGTTGGGCGGCTTACTCAGACTCCGCTCTCCTTCAGGGCATCAAGACGATTGCAACCGAATTGCAGTCGCGTGCAGCTGCTCGTGCCTCAGCAGCTGGTGAGACCTCTGGTGCTGCCCGTCCAGCTGGGCAACAGTCATTAGAGGACAGTGCAAAGCTGCCTGCAGTGGAAGATGCGAAAAAGATGGAGGAGCCGCGCCAGGAGTGGTATTGAGGAACTTGGCAATGAGCCTTCTTCCAGGCCTGTGCAGTTGGACGAGGAGGAATCGCTCCATGAGGAGTTTGGTATTCATGCTCAGTCAGATGAAGTGCAGGCTGGAATGGAAGGTGGACCGAATGCAATGGAACTTTTGTTTGGGGATGTCGACGATGAGGCTTTATTTGGAGGCAGCCCCAATGCAGAATTAGAACAACCAGTTTTTGAAGGAGCAAAGAGCCAAGGCGTGAGTTTTGTGGATGCAAGTGCGCCTCCAAAACCTTTTGATGGCAATTTTTCCCATGTGGGCAAAACTGCACCTGACCCAGTCATTTCAGAAGCTATCCGTTTGACCGACAAGAAGCCGGTGCTCTTCCCTTGGGAGAAAGGTCGCATGGCAAAGATTTTTGGCGATCGAGGCAGACTTGATGCTAAGATGCCAAAGCTCCATGCCAGCAGCAATAGCTTCGTGAAGGTTGACGTCGAAGTGCGTGAGGGGATGCAATGCTCTGCAGCCGTTGGTGTCAGGCCCACCAGGACTGAGAATGCCATCTACTCCACAGTGGTCAAACAGGTCATTGGAGGGTCCTATTTGGAGGAAAGGAGCGCCAAGAGAGATGTGGCAGTGAGGTCTTGGTGGGACCTATTACGAATGGATATGACTTGCAGTGAGCCAGGGAAATTTGCACTTGCTGAAAAGGGCTTACACGACAAGTACCGATGTGGCATTGAGACGATTGACGCATCACTGGGTGTGAAAAGCCCGAATACAGTGATGAAACGCTTCTACTCGGTCAAGACCTATAATACCTGGGTTATTCGGCAATCAGGTAAGTCTTGGCTTCCAGTTGAAGAGAAGATGGTTTGGAGCTACTTCAAAGCGTTGAGGGCTGAGAAGGCTCCAGCGACTCGAGCCACGTCTTTGCTTGAAGCGCTGAGGTTTTGCCATTTTGTCTTCAAAGCTGAAGGTTGTGAAGAGACTCTTGCTAGCCTTAGAGTCAGGGGCTTAGCAGCACAGCTTTATGCATGCAAGCGTCCATGGAAGCCTGCAGACCCCCTGACAGTTTCAGATGTGCAATTCCTTCACAAAGCCATGGAAGATGAAAAGCGCAGCTTGGTGGACAGGATTTTCATCGGCCACCTGCTTCATATGGTTTATGCTCGTGCACGCTTCTCGGACTTGCTGGCATCTGTGAACTGCGCACTGGATGAGGAGTGCATGTTCCTCGAGTTGCAGGCGACGGTCCATAAAGGATCTCGAACCGCCATGACAAAGGCGATGCTTCTTCCAGTGGTGGCTCCGGCTCTTTCTGGATGGTGGCCTGGTTTTGGATGGGCGTAGGATCTCAACCCACTCCTGCAAAGCCACCTGTATTTCCTGGTGTGCCAAACATGATGTGAGTCCTGAGCATCGTGCAATACTGGCTAGGCACAGTACATCGGCTCAGGGTCCAACGGCCTTGTACTCTCGCGACCTGATCACTGCAGCACTGAGGAGCCTCATTGTGGTGTTGGAAGCCATCAGGGCTTTGACATTTTTTCCAGATAGATCGCGGTCTGGGATGATCACACCGGTTCCTGCTCCAAAGGCGCCGAGTGGCTCCACCCCTATGCCGGCTACGTCCTTTGTGATGGCAGGCACTGGGGGTCATGCAGAACGAAGTCCTGGAGGTGCAAGCATTGTGCCTTCGCCTGAGAGCCCACTGCCAGAGACTCCGAACTCCTGGCAGCGTATTGAGTGGCCTGAGCAAGATGATGCAGAACAGGTCCATGAGGATGCAGTGGCCCCTGATTTGCTTGGGGACTGGAATTGTGCCTCTTCAGACTCCAGTCAAGAGTCCAGCTCTGACAGTGATGTGGAAGTACAGTGGGAGCAGGTTGATCTCAATGAACCGGCTTCCCAACCATCTGCTGCTGCCAGGGTCAAGTGGTACATCAATGGAAAGACCTTGGTCAACCACGAAAGGCGCAATGAGGTGTCTTTCAAATGTGGAAGGACGATTGGTGCGTCCTATTTCCCTGTGCACCAGCTCACAGGACTTTGGTGCAATACGTGTTTTGCAGACGCGTTTTGACTCAGTGGTTGCCCCACTGCGTGAAAAACTGGATGGCAGCTTGCGCTGCATGGGCTGTTTGCGCAGCCAAATGCTGGTATGTCCAGCTGTTTGTTTATCCATGCTTGCGCATGGAATCAGTTGCAGATGTTTGTAACGGTTAATCTTGATTTCCTGTTGTGCACTGATGTTCATTTGCTCTGAAGAGTCATGATTTGCAATTGGGTTTATCCGTGCCGTGAGGCATTCATTTTTTTGGCATGTTTGCAGTTTCATGGTTCAAGATGTCTGGGCTTGTGGATAGCGAGGCTCATTTTGAGTCACGAGCCAATGAATATGGAGTGCCAGCCGCCTTTCTCCAGGCACTAAAAAGGGAAGGCATTTCAACAGTGGGGCACCTAGCATTTGCTGTTTTCCGTCCCGGCGCTGAGTTCAATGAAAGGGAGTTTGACACATGGGCACAAGGTGTCAACAACAATGTCCCGCTTACAATGGGGGCTGCCGCTGCTGTAAGGAGGTTGCACTATGAGTGTGAGGTCATCATGACTTCTACAATTCGGTCATCGGTTGAGACCCCTGCTGATTCTTCAACGCCGAAGGCCATACCATTTGCAGAAAAAGCAGCGCGCATGGATCAGATTAGGTTGCGTTTGCAAGGTTTGAACATCACTGGTGCTGGTGAACCTTCACATGCTCTTTTGGACGAATGTGCACATCAGTTTGAAACAAGGGTCCTTAAATACATTGAGCCTTCACGCTGCACTAGCAGGGAAAATGAAATTACATCAGGGCGTACAGACAAAAAGCTGAAGTTGGACGCTGGAAGTTTGAGCATCAAGGAATCGAAAACCATCCCGGACGAGTCTGTATCGACCACTTACAATGTTGCAACATGCTTGCGTCGGCGTGGGATTGCTTATGATTTCGCCAACCTGATCAGCTTCAGAGCCCATGAACTTTATGTGGAGCGCCTGCTGCGTCACCTTTCACTGGAACCACCACCAGCCTTTCAAGCAGTGACGCTTGCACAGGTTCTCAGAGCAGACAAGGAGGTTTTCACCTTCTTAGCACATAATGTTTCTGACATCAGGCCTGATGCTTTGGATGTGCGACCTTTGGACAATGCATTGGAGGAGGCAATGAGAGACTACAACACAACTTTTCATTTGCTACCATTGCCAAAGGCGAATGTTGTTGAAGCTGCGCCCAAGCGCAACATTTCTGAGCCTTACCCTTCTCAAGGCAGCAACAAAGGTCGTGGTAAAGGAAAACATGGAAAGAGCAAAAGCTTTGGCTCTAATGCAGCACCGCGTGGTTACAGCGGATGTGTAGGCAGAGATGGAAAGAACCGGCCTATTTGCTTTGACTTCAACTTGAGCCAATGCACGAAAGCCCCCACTGGTGGAGCCTGTCCGAAGGGCAGGCATGTGTGCTTTAAAGCAGGTTGCTTCAAAGCGCATTCCTTTAAAGATGGACATCCTGACGAAGCCAACGTCACTAAGGAGTGACTAGCCCAGCAGCGCATTGGTGGTGCTGAGCCCAATGATCTTTCTTCCAGTGAACATGTGGTGGTCCTGGAACTCTTTTGTGGAACTGCAGGGGTAAGCGCGTCGTTGAAACGACTTGGGCTCGATGTGGTATCCGTTGACAAGAGCATGCCAAGGGCGCCCAAGGCGCTAGTGACAAAGCTGGACCTCACTTCAGTCTCAAACCAATTGCTTGTATTGAGTTGGATCAAAAATCCCCAGATCAAAGCTGTGTTTTTGGCGCCGCCTTGCGGCACAGCAAGTGCAGCAAGAAATATCCAGAGAGCCGATGATCCCATGCTGCCTCAACCTTTGCGCTCAAAAGAATTTCCAGATGGTTTGCCTTCCCTGTCAGGCTTTGACTTCTTGCGTGTGGAACAGAGCAATATTCTTTATGATTTTTCTGCAACTGTGTACGATTTGTGTTGTGAACTTGACAAGCTGTGCATCTGCGAAAACCCACGCGATTCACTGTTTTGGGAAACCACACCTTGGATGGAACGTTCTTTCTTTACAAGAGATTGCATACAATGCCATCAAGCTTGCGCTTATGGTTCTGGAAGACCCAAATGGACAAAGTTGATAGCTAACTTTGCTGAGGTGGAACAAATTTCAGGTACGTGCGATGGTCAACACAAACATGACCCATGGGGCTATGAGATTCGAAACGGCAAGTGTGTTTTTGCGACATCCCTGGAAGTGCATTATCCAACTGCACTTTGTGACAAGATTGCCAACACCATCGCAATTGCTTTACAAAAGCGGGGTATCAACATACCTCAACACGTGCCCATTAACTTGGCGGCACGTTCGCTGGCGCAAAATCAACCAGCGACCAACAAAGTTGTGCCCATTGTGCCTGAGTTCAAATCCAAATGTGTCGCAATTTTTCTTCAAAATCAATGCATTTGGCCTGCAATGCATCAATTTTTAGACTCTGCCAAAGTCTTGCAAAAAGTTGAAGTGGGGGGTGAATGTTTGCAGTCTTTGGTGGAGTGCATTCTGGAACAATGCCGGCTATGGAATGTTGATGTCCAACTGGACCTTGCCCCAAATGGGCTTGTTTTTCCTTGCGTTGTGAATTTGAGATGTTTTGGAATTTTTTGGAAAGAGGAGGAATTTGTTGAACAAGCGATCAAAGCAAAACACCCCCTGTCGTTGGAATCTGCCTTGCCAAGACAGCTGCTTGATTCCATCCACCGCTCTGTATATGAAAGTGAGGTAACCATTGCAAGGGTCAGAGCCGAATTCTTTGCCAAATGGACCAAGAGAGCTGTACAGTTGGACATGGATGAGAAAGCCCTTAAGGCTGGCATGCATGCAGATGTGGCGCGTGCAGTGCGCAACAAGCGCATACTCTTGTTCGAAGAAATGCTTAGGGCTACAAATTTTCCTGACATGGGAGTGGTGGATGAATTGCGTTTGGGATCCGACTTAACTGGTGAGGTTCCCCTTACAAACATGTTGCCGGGCAGATTTGAGCCAGCCCTTATTTCAGAGCAAGAGCTACAGCGCAGTGCTGAGCGTGTGAGGAAGGCTGCAATTCATGGAGTGCGCAGTTCTGGTGACAATGACCTTGATGAGATAGTGTGGCAGAAAACGATGGAGGAAGTTGACAAGGGCTGGCTGATAGGTCCTCTACATGACAACCAGGTGCCAGCTGATCGACCTCTCTCTAGAAGGTTTGGCCTTCGACAGAAACAAGGCAAAGTGCGTTTGATTGATGACTTTTCTGAATCTGGGGTCAATGCAAGTGTTACTGTTTCAGAATCACCTTCTTTGCACACTGTGGATGTCGCCTGTGCGTCTCTCATGGTTTGGTTCAGTTTGTGCAAGGGTGCAAGAATCAACAGCGATTTGGTCGTACGTACTTTCGACCTGGCCAGCGCTTACAGGCAAGTTGGTTTGAGTGAAAGAGGTCAAAAATTTGCTTTCCTTCGGGTTTACAACCCGAAGACAAAAAGGGCATGCTTCTTTAAATGTTTGGTTTTACCATTTGGAGCAGTTCGAAGCGTGCACTCTTTCCTGCGCTTGGCGAGGGCCTTGTGGTGGATAGGAGTTGTGGGGTGCTGGATTGTTTGGACATCGTTTTACGACGATTTCATTTCTTTCAGTCGTCCCTGTCTTGCTGGTAGCGCAGAACAATCTGTGACGGCCTTGTTCAAACTGCTTGGATGGATTTTTGCGGAAAAAGGTGACAAAGCTCAACCCTTCGACTTACAATGCCCCGCTTTGGGAGTACTTTTGGATTTGAGTGTTGCGTCCACAGGCGTAGCTTTGGTATGCAACACAAAGACACGTTGTGCGGAACTTTGTGATGATTTACACAAGGTTGTTGAAGGTGGCAGTTTGACAAGTAAAAATGCCAACGTTTGCGTGGGCGCATGCAATTTGCAGAGGCCCAGCTCTTTGGGCGCACGGGTAGACGATGCCTCCGTGTACTCACTGACTTCTCAGAAGGGCGGCGCTCCAACCTGACGGACAAGGATAAGTTTTTCCTGTTGATGTTTCGTGACATGCTGGTGGCAAATGTGCCCAGAGAAGTAACAGCTTTGAGTGATGGAAACGTTGTGGTGTTTACAGATGCATGCTATGAAAGGGATCACCCTACATGGCCTTGTGGTTTAGGTGGCGTTGCTCTCGTGGAAGGAAAGACCTTTTTCTTCTCCTTAGAAGTTGTGAAAGCGTTGAGACTTGTTTTGGGGGAAGATGAAAAGAAGCAGATTATTTTTGAGGCGGAAACGTTGGCGGCCTTGCTTTCAATGAGTGTCTGGAAAACTCTGTTTGGTGGCAAACGTGTTATCCTTTTTGTGGACAACGAGGGTACAAAATTTTCCCTTCTCAGAGGTATTTCAGACAATCCTTGTGTGGACATGATGGCCGAAGCTTTTGCAAGGATTGAGAGCCAACTCCATGCGATGATCTGGATTGCAAGGGTTCCATCAAAGAGTAATGTCGCAGACCCACCGTCAAGAGGTCTGACAAATATCCCTTTACTGAACAATGCAATTGACGTTTCTGATGTTGCTGAGAAACAACTACAGGAGTTGGTCACGCAGATATGGAAAGTGGGGGAGAAGGCTGCGTGACATCTCCCAGCTGCAAAACAATCAAGCTGCTTGCATTGTTGCATGTCTCCTGTAATGCCAGTTGGTGAAAGTGTTTCAGCGAACATGTCACTTAGTTTTATGAAGATGGATCTGAAACGCCTGTTTCGGAAACTTTCGGTCCGAGTGGTGGGCAGGGAGGGTTGCCCTTTGCATTCGTTCTTCAGCGACACCCACCGACCACCCCGAACACCACCTGCACTTGGACCATTTTCTTTTAGCCATAACTTGTTGCATGTCTCCTGTGATGCCAGTTGGTGAAAGTGTTTCAGCGAATAAAATAAAATATTTATACGAGATAAAATTTCAGAATATAAAGCACCATACGATCGCAATAATATCGGGTATATACGGCCATTTTGATTCAGGAAGCTTCATTATAAATAATTATGAGATTTCCATCTTATTTTTCAATAAAAATAAAATTAACTTATTAATCATATTTTTGCATATTTCATAGGAAGGGAAAAGGGGAAGGGCCAATGGGAATAAAAAATCAAAATCCGACAATAATATGGAGAAAAATAGTTAAACAGGGGGTCGAACCAGCCACCCAAAAGAAAAGGGGGAAACTAGTTCGGCAAACCCTGCACATGTGACAAGCACCTTTTGCTCACAAGGCACTTGAGCCAAGCGTCAACCAGCGGTAAGTTTATAACCCATACCCGGTGGTTGTTGGATATGGAAACTAAACCCTGGAATAAGCTATGGCTATACTACATACCTAACTCTTCTAGGTATGAGGTGCAAACTGTACATATTGGGGTGTATCTACTTGAAACTACGTTGGTACTCATAGCTACGGCATGCCTACATAAGACCTACTACCTATGCTATACATAGTGGGGCTCAGGGGTCGGTATATTTCAACTCCCCCCTCGCCTGTTCCACACGCACTGCGCACTGGCAGTATCCTAAGCAGCTACTGTCGCGTGAATGGACGTTCACAGCGAGTTAGGCTTTGGATTTGAGGTCTAAGGGAAGGTCAGTACGGATTCCTAGAAGAATTAGTGCTGCTGCCCATTTGTGTGGAGGCAATGCCTTGGTGAATATGTCTGCCGCCTGGTCATCGGTGTGGGTGTACTCTATCTCGGCAGAGTCATCTCTGAAGACTTCAGACAGGCAAGACAAATTAACTTTGTGTGTTCTAGTTGTATGGCGAAGCTTGGGACTATATCCTTTCTTCACAACTAGGATTGTTGCTTGGTTATCTTCGTGGACCTTAAGGGTTACGGAGCGTGCAAGCAACAGCTCCCATAACTGTAAGGCAGGCAAGCCTTCTTGATAAAGCGAATGGGCTAAACTAACAACCTCGCTTTCCGTGGTCGATCTAGAAGTGGATGTTTGGCGCTTGCTAATCCATGCAAATGGGAAGAAGGAACTAGGGCCAGTTAAAACCAAAAAGCCACCAGAGGTTGAGCGTGCAGTTGATCTGTCGCCGGCGAAGTCGGCATCGACAAACAATCTGAGCTCTAGGTCTTCAGGCTTGTCCTGAATGGTACCTACTAACCTGTAGTGTGGTGTTGAGGCTATGTACTGGATTAATCTTAGGACCTTCTTATCATCCCCCCTGGACCACGACTGGACCTTTGTGGCCAGATCATTGATAGGCTTGATGATGTCGGGACGTGCAAGTCTACCTAACCAAAGGGCTCTCATCAAAATCTTACATGCATTTGGAGCTAGTTCCCCTTTAGTTTCATCATCTTCAATGGTGATGGATCCCTCAGATGGAAACGGCGTGGCTGCATGCTTGAGTTTGGTGACACCAATTATTGATTTATACAAATCTACGGTCTGCTGAGCGTAGTCTGCCATATCAAAAACCATGCCATCTTGGGCTTGGAAGGCTGCACATTTTTCATGACCTTCGGTCTTGGAAAGTGGGGTAACAACATGGTTGCGCCCAAGAATCCTATAGATGGGCTCTGGGGGTTCGATGTCTACCACAGAAGTTAACTTACTCCAGAATGCATCATGCTGGTCGGCGGGGCCAGCCAGAGTCAAATCGTCTACATAAGTTGACAGAAGTAACTTTGTATCTGGGAAGTAAAAATTTCCTGGGTATTCTGGAACTTCCTGTCCACCAAGGTTCTTGATGATGATTTTCAAGTGTTATTCCCACAGGCCTCCGGCATCAGGATGACCGTATAAGGCTTTAATTAAGAGGACTACGGGCTTAACAAACTGTTGTTTCCAATACTTAGGGCGGAGCTCCGGTGGAAGCTCAATCCAGGTTTTGTATTTGGAAGATAACAGTGCTTGGACGTAAGCTTTGACTGCATCTGCAGCCGTCGCGCGGTTACCCGGCAGCGACCCGTACGCCAAGCAGGCGTTTAGCCCTTGGACGGAGGTGGGGTTTGCGCCGAGTTCTTGGTAAACCGCGGCTGCACCATGTTCGTCCTTTGCGCAGTTTCCTCTGTACACAATGCGCCCCTTCATTTTGTGAAGGTGGTCTGCAAGCTCGTAGAATTTAATGGACGCGATGGTCATGAGCTGACCAAAGTGCACTGACACACCCGAAGCCTTAGCTTCTTTGCGTACATCTTCCTTCTCGCGGACCGAGCTAAGATCCCAAGTACCAGCCTTAACCAAACCATCGGCTTCGGCGCGGATTGCCTCGAGGGCCTTGGGATTGGACAGCATCTCTGCACGGGATAAGAGCTTAGTGACCATTGCTTTGATCTCAGGCGTTGGCGCCTTAGGGTCTTCCAGGTGGAAGGCTTGAGCGATCAATTGTTCGTGGTCAAGAAGTTCTGTAACCAACCTATTAGCAGTGGGGTCTGATTCAACAGCTAGGGCTAAATCTTCAAAACCAGCTAATGGGGATACATGCTTAAGGTGCTGCTCAATTTCCCTATGGGGTTGAGGCTCGCTGGTTGCCGGTCGGCAAGGCATAGCAGGAACGGACTGCTGGGCACATTTTGAGGGATACAAAGCTTGCGCAATTAGATTAGTCATTTGGGGCGGATACATTGCGGAGCGAGTGGTCTCAGCTCCCTCACATCTGGAATGAGGTTGCTGGCATCGACACCGCATATCTTGAAACGCCTCTACAATTCGGGGAGAAGTGGCCTTGAGCTTCCATGGCTTTTTGATGGGATAACCATTTCTGTCGGTTAAACCTACGGTACACCCTTCAAAACCAACGGTCATAAACTGGGGATGCTTCTCAAAGAACGCTACAACGTCAGGCCTTTTCCAGCCAGAGCAAGGTCTTGGCCATTCAAACGTTACAGTACCACCATGATTGAGAACCCTTTCAGCGCGTTTGGAAAACTCTTAAACAACCGCTTGGACTCTTTGACCTGGTGGGCAAGCTTCCTAATGAATGCGGCACCACCCCTCTTCCTATTGATGTACTGCCAAGGGGATCCGGATGTGCAAGGGATAGAGGCCCACATGTGTGGAGGTGCAACCTTAGCTGCTTCATCTATCTGATAATCTAGTTGCTCACATTGTAACTCATATCCCAGGTCTATCCTATCCTTACAAAGTTTAACATGATTAATGCCATATTCTTGGTGAGTAAAACCCATCTGGGAGTCCTCAGAATAAGCAAATTCAAACATGGTTGACTTGGCATTGGGTCTGGAAGCTTTCTTGGCAGCTTTCCGACTCCTACGATTATCGCGGTTAGTTGGCTTACCTACAGCGGGGCAACCAAAAACAGGCAGCGACTTTTGACATAGGTCGGAACATCGATTGGCAACTTGGGGAAGAATAGCTACACCAGAAACAGAAACAGCAGGCTCGGCTGGAGCGCTGGGTTCGGACGACCCTGGTACCTCACCTCTTATGAAGATTTCCTCAACCAGTGCTCTGTCCTCTGCAGAGAGGTGAGATGGTATCGGATCGGGATCAGGCAGATCCTCACCCTGGAAGATGATGCCATGTGCTTCATCATCCCTGTCTTCTGCTTCTGTCTCACTTGTGGGAGGTGGAGCTTTCTTTTCTTTTTCGGCTTCTTTCTCTTTTTCAACCAACATTGAGAAGCGGGCTCTGCACTCATCGGTGTGCACGCGTGAATGGCCAGTGCAGCCTTTGCAACCAGGGGGTCTCTTTCCACTTAAGGATACGGTCTACGGTTATATAAACAGAACGACTTTTGAGACCTGGTGTAGAGAGTGAGGCTATTCCGCCCTCCTTGGGGAAGGGCACATCCTTTAAGGCATATTCAGGCAACTTAAGATCATCTGGGTTATCCCCCCTGACGAGAGCTTGGTGGCGTGAAAAACCTACTGGAAAAACAGGATCACCTTCAGGGACAAAGATTTCCGCTTCTGGAACATCAACGGCTGAATTCCCACCTCTAGTGCGATACTCTTGGTAATCTAACACCCTTAAGATATTTCTATATCGGAAACCAGGATCAATCCTCCAACCCAAAAATAGACCAGGTGACATGTTGGGCTCCAAAGTCCTTTTGGTGGGTGACTTCCTACGGTAATACACTAATTGACCAAAGCATAACCTCATGCCATCAAACTTATTCCTAGTAAGCGACTCCCATTGGGTTTTGTCGGGGTCGGCTATTGAAGGCTTGTCGAATGACATTGAAAGGCAAGCATATGGATAGCTATATGTGTGATACTCATAGGGAAGGCCAGATTGGAGGTGAACAGTGCGGCAACATTCTTTCTCCTCTCGAACATCTCTCTCGAGGATGGCATTGTGGGGCCATCTGTTCGGCAACGAGGTTTCTGGAACCATGCCCACGGCATGTGCCGCCTGCTCAAGCTCGCCTGCTTCGTCCATTTTGATGAACGTTCGGGGGGTGAGCTCTGATCCACGCAATCCTAAGAAATGCCTAAAGTTGCGAGCATGCGCGTCAGCAGTACGTTTAGATAATGGGTATGCAACACGCGCACCAGAGTACGCATCGCGGATGACATGATGCGACCTTATTCCCCCTATGCCTACCCCCAGGTGTTCGGACCCTTTAGCTAAGATAACATCATCAGTAGCGAGCTGTTCCAGCG